GTGTGTGTGTGTGTGTGTGTGTGTGTGTGTGTCTGTGTGTCTGTGTAAGTGTGTGAAAGAGAGAGAGAAACAAAGACAGACAGAGAAAGTCAGAGACAGAGAATCATATACACTTTCATTTTGCGTGCATGCTAATGCGGATGCTAAAAATGAAATCTGCATGTAATACTCTTAAAACATTACAAAACCCCTTGGAATTGCAGGAGAGGGATGGCAGTCTACACAGTATAGAAAATGATGGTCAAACTAACCAGGCACAACACAAGGAATATGCAGTTTCATAGCAACTGTTTCAAATCTCTTTTGAAAAGAAGGGTAAAAGCAATAGGACATGGGGGTTTATTTCATTCTTCGATTTTTTTTTCCAAGTCAAGGCTCCAGTTGCATGTAAGACAGATCCTGCAGTCTGTCAGTAATTGCCAACCTCCAATAGAATCCCTCCTGGCTGACTTGCCTCTGCCTCTCACCTTCCCACGGGTTCATTCATAGATTCTTTGCTAAGGTATACACAAAACATAAACATAAGCAATCCTCTGCTTCTTCCTCTACAACAAATAGCTTCAGATTAAATTGGAGTTGTGCTGCTATTTCTAGCCATAAGCAGTTACATACTGGCCCTGACCTCATTCTCAAAAAGCTGCATAGGAAAGAGGTGTGGCCAGAATAGAATGGAGGGGAGGGGCCTCTTCATTCATAAAACAGTGGATCCAAGACTAATCCCTGTCAATTTGGCTTCCGGTGAGTCTGAATGCTGAGCTTCTGTCAGGGCTCAACAGAGTCCTATGCCACCAAATGCTTGTGTCTCCGGAAAGGAAAATCTAAGTTCTTGCAAACAATATCTTCAAGCATCTTTATCATTCTGTAAGGAATTAAATACTCAGCACGGGGGGTGGGGGGGCAGAGAAATGATGGTTTCCCAGCATTGGTATGGCCAAAGTAACCGACACTAATTTGTCCCAGCTGCCTCCACTTGGCATCTGCGATGGGGAATAATGTGTCGCTTATTTAAGCATATCAGTCAGTGACAAGAGTTGGGAATCAATCCTGCTGCTCTCTTAAAAGATGAAAACTCCTATCAGTATCTCCAGAGAGTGTGAGGCCAGGAGACCAGTAGGGAGGTGACCTCCACAGCACCTCTGTTGAGTAAGCCTAGCTTGGATCTACGTTTCTGGCCAGAAGGCATTCTCTCAAGGAGGTGTAGGGAATCCAATCCAAACCGTCCCACCAGGAGCCATGGTCATGTGCTTATGTGCATGAAGGGAACGATGCTTCTCTGACTGAAGGTGAACTGTGCATGCAGCCTTTAAACTTGCTAAGTGCCTTGTTATCCTGTCAGGATTGATTACATTGCCAGCTTGGATTCAGGTCATGCAGAAAAATCAGAGACTTCTTACACGGCCCTAGCAAAGTCATCTCAAAGCACGGATCTCTCTTTCTCTAGCTGTCTAACAAAACTCTACTCTAAATTTAAAAAAAGACAGGAAAACAGAAACAGAAGTCATGGCCAGCAAGACAGTTCAGTGGGTAAAGGCACCTACCATGCAAGTGAGCAAATCCACGCAAAGGTGAAAGGGGAGAAGGAACTCCACAAAGTTGTCCTCTGACCTTTACATGCATGCCATGGTACATATACCCATATATGCACATCGTGAACACACACACTGATAAACAAAATAATTTTTAGAAAATGGAAACGAATAAACACCGAGAGAACACAAAATGATTACACTTTAGTCTAAATGTTAATAGGTACCTTCCACAGTCATTTAAATATTGAATATATACTACACAAAAGGGCAAGACAGAGAAGACTCGAGTTTACTTGGAGTCTTGAAATACTCTCATACCGAGAAGTCTTTACATAGACTCAGCTTCTGCTATTGTATAACTAGTACTCAATTGCCCAGTGGAGGTATAGTGAAAGTATACTAATGCTATTGATTACCTGGATCATCAATAAGTAGAAAAGGAGTTAGAGAAGGGTAGAGATGATGGGGTTCTTGTCTCAATTTCCCATCATACTCCAAGAAGCTTTTCTTTTTCAAGTTATAACTACTTTCCTATGCTTCAGTAATCCTTCTGCATGCTCTCACAGCCCTGAAGACAAGGAGGACTGAAGCCCAAGGGATCGAGTAAGATGCTACCAGGCAAATCAGAGTATCTCCCAGACAGCAGAATGCATGCACCATCCAGCAGCCGAGTCACAAAATAACTCTGAGAATGGCCAGTCTATCCCATACAAGAGCCTGTGTGTGGTCAATAGTCTGATCTAAGAGATTTACTCATTGCCTCTCTGAACATAGGTTCTGATAGCTGTTGCTAGAGCTGATGGAGTTTGTTCAACTCCTCATGGACCGGACTCACCCCACTACCTTGCCTACTGTTCTGGACAGCGTTCACTATTGCTACGATGAAATACTGACTGAAACTGACTCAGGGAGAAAAGGGTTTATTTCTCTTTCCAGCTTATAGTCCATTATCAAAGGATGCCAGGGCAGGAACTTAGGCAGGGCAGGGACCTGAAAACAGGAACCAATGCACAGACCACAGAGGAACACTGCTTTCTGGCTCGCTCCTCTAGCCTGTGCTCAGTCCACTGTTATATACAATCCAGGATTACCTGCCCAGGAGTGGCACCGCCCACAGTGGGCTGGGCCCTTCCACATCACTCAACAGTCAAGAAAATGCCTCACAATAATGCCCATAGGCCAATCCGATAAAGAAAATTTCCCAATTGAGGTTCCCCCTTCCCAGGGGTGTCGGGTTGACAACTGAAGTTGACAGCTGTCTTGGATGGAACGTGCTACCATACTGTAAGACTGATGACAAACACCCGAGCACTAGATATCAATACTGAAAGAAGCACTTCGAGGTCACTTTCTATAAAAAGCACTGACTCCTTACTTGGACCCACAAGGAAAGTGAAAACAGAAGGAAGGCCTGCCATCCCCGCCTCATTTTACATCCGTGCTTTGGCCAGAGGTACAAAGGTAAGTTATATTCCTAAACCTTTCCTCTTAAGTAATTTTGAATTGGAAGAAGGAAAAACCTTTCAAGACAGACCATCCCTTTAGATGAGGACAAGTATCCATGAGGGTAAAGGCGATGCCTGGAACACAGCATCCTGAATCATCTTGCAGGAACCAGATGGGTCCAGAGGCAGAGAGTCATTAAGAGATCAACAACTTATCACACCACCATGGAGGGCTACCTTGTGGGAGAGAAGCTGAGACAATGATGGTTCAATGACAGGCAGGGCCCATCTCTTGCCCTCTATTTAAACCTAAACCTCACTCATGTACATATCACAAAGACAGACATGAGGATCATTGTTCCTCTTCCCAATGTGGCCTCATCGAATAAACCTCCTATGCTTTTCAGTACCACCGTCACTATAATTGGCATATTGGGGGTGGGTGGCTAACTCTGGCTTGTCGGGGCTTCCAGAGTCCATTTTGGGTGAGGGAGAGTTGACATTCTTTAAGCAAGTGATGCTAGACAGGCAGAACAGGCTCCAGTGGATGAACTCCCAGCAAGGGACATCTGGGCACACAAACGACTCAACAGAACTTAACATATAGGACAAAATGCATGAAGTCCTGAAGGCAGGCTATTGGG